TCACCAGGGCTATGGGGGGTCTCACCAGGGTGATTTGGGTTCTCACCAGGGTGATCTGGGGGTCTCACCAGCCCACAGGGATATTTAGGGTCTCACCAAGGCTCTCTGGGGTCTCCCCATGGCTCTGAGGGGGTATCACCAAGGTAGCAGGGCTCCCTGGGGTCTCACCAGGGCCCTGTGGGGGTCTAACCAGCCTTGTTAGACCCCCACAGAGCCCTGGTGAGACCCCACAGAGGGCTCTCTAGGGTCTCAACAGGGCTGTCCAAAGGGCTCTATGTAGTGAGTGTTACCTGTTACCAGGGCTGCGTGGGCCGCGTCTCACACTGATGCTTTGCGGGCAGGGACCAGGTCTCACCATCCTGTGAAGGTCGCGTCTCGCAGGCAGGAGTGGATGGGATCGTGCAGGACCAGCTCGTTCCCGGCGACATCTGCCTCTGATGATAAACTCCGCCCTCCCAGCCAGATAGAGATCCTCGTGCGGTGGATGGGAGGGATGAGGTCTCGTCCCATTGGCTGGTGGACGGAGCTCCGGCAGACCAGACGAGTGGATTGACCGAGAAAACGGATGAGCTCTCGGCCCTGACGCTGTGCTGTCAAACTAAGAGTCTCGCTTTGACAGGGTCAAAGCGACAGGGCTGAGAGCTCATAATGTTACCTGGCTTGCAGGTAATGTGCCGACCTGGCAAATTTGCCTAATTAGAGAGCCGCCTCTGGTCGCGTGCCAGCTGTCAAGGTCTCGCGTGCCAGGCTGGGCGCGCGTGTCGGGGGTTGCTGACCCCTGCCCTAGATATTCAGGAGGAGAAGGTGCTACTATCTTGGCACGACTTGATGGACCAGGGACTTGAGCAGCAAAAGGCCAGAGTTTTCCCGGTGCACAAGGTACTCGCGGACACCATCTATAAGGAATGGTCAGAACCGGAGAGAAAACCTCTTTTTTTCTAACAATCTAAAAAGACGTTTTCCTTTCGATGAGGATGCATCGCTGCCATGGAACAAGGTTCCTAAAATTGATGCATCATTATCGAAGATTTCAAGAAAATCGGATCTGGCATTTGAAGATATGGGGGTACTTGGAGACCCAATGGATAGGAATATTGGCTTACCCAGCTACAGAATCATTTGATGGCAAGAAAGCAGAGAGAGCAGATCATAGATTCCCTGCCGATGCTTTTCAAAGCCGTAGCGTTTATCGCAGATGCCTCGGCTGACTCAGTCAGAATGGCGGCTAGGTCGGGGGCCTTGATCAACTCTTCTCGCAGGGCAATTTGTTTAAAAGCCTGGGAGGGGGATGCAGCTTCAAAGTTGAGGCTTTGCAATCTTCCGTTTAGTGGCGATCTTCTTTTCTGACCTGAATTGGAGGCCGTATTGGAACGTACGGCTGATAAAAAAATAAATCTTTTCCGGAGAAAAACTCCCTTTTCGTAGATTTTTTAAGGGGCCCAGAAACAAGGGGCAGAACACGAAGAGGAAACAGCCCAAGAAACACTGGATGGGCCAGAAAGGCAAGGGGAAGGGAAGCATTTTTACTAAACCTCCCTCCCAAACCCCAAAGCAGCAGTGACTCCTGTGTGAGGGTGGGGGGAAGGCTGGCAGAGTTCCTCTCTCGCTGGAGGGACATCACTTCCAATCAGTATATCCTCAATCTCATCCATGAGGGATACAGGTTAGAGTTCTGCAGCCCCCCACCCCGCCGCTTTTTGATCACGAATCTCCCAAGAAACACATCCTGAGCGAATGCTCTTTGCCTTCTGTTGGGAGAGTTGGTGGATCAAAATGTGCTCATTCAGGTACCGGACCAGGAGAGGGGTCAAGGCCTGTATTCTCGCGTCTTTGTGGTACAACAGCTGTCAGGGAAGTACAGGTTGATACTCAATCTCAAACTCTTGAACTTGACAATAAAGTACTAGAGGTTTCGCATGGACTATTTTTTTTTCAGTCCAGAACCTTTTACAAAAAGATTCCTTTTTAGCAGTGGATTTGAGGGATGCCTATCTCCACATTCCCGTCCACAGGACGTCCCAAGTATTTTTGCGACTGGCGGTAAGAATAGGTCAGACCGCTGTGCATTACCAGTTCAGGACCCTTCCATTCGGGCTGTCCTCGGCTCCTCGCATTTTTACGAAAGTTTTGGGGGAGGCGATTGTTCCATTAAGGATGCAAAGTATTTGCATCATCCCGTATTTGGACGACATTCTCCTGTCCGCCAGCTCAGCTGCTCAGTGCACGAGAGACTTGGAGATAACGCAGGGTTGGTTGCAGTCCCTGGGATGGGTGGTGAATTTCCAAAAGTCCAATCTTGTCCCTGCCCAGATTACAGTGTTTTCTAGGTTACATCCTGAATACGGTGGAGCCGAGGACTTTTCTCCCGGACAAGAAAATTCAAAAGGTGGGAAATGCAGTAAGTCGCTTGCAGACAAATTGTCCCACATCCCTAAGGGAAATCATGTCAGTGTTGGGTCTTATGTCTACCGGTTGTTCTGTGGGCAAGGTTCCACCAGAGGGGTCTACAACGTTTTCTGTTGAAAGTGTGGGACCATTCCCAGGATACCTTAGATGCTACACCATGCTTCCCCCTTCCGTGAAGAGGGGCTTATGGTGGTGGAGAACCCAAGGTTGCCTGTCGGAAGGTCTTCAATGGTCTTTTCAAACTACCATAAGGTTGACTACGGACGCAGGTTCCTGGGGATGGGGAGCACATCTGCAGAATCGGGTGGCTCAGGGACAGTGGTCGCAGCGAGAGGCATGAAGGTCTTCCAATTGGAGGGAGCTGAGAGCGGTCATGAACGCGATTTTGGTGTTTCAGGATCAGCTCTGGCATCAACATCTACTAGTGCTTTCCGACAATGTAGCCACTGTGTTATTTGAACAAGCAGGGGGGAACCAGGAGTTCTTTCCTGCAGGCAATAGCAAAGGAGATATTTGTTTGGGCAAAAGTGAATCTGTTTTCTCTCTTGGCAGTGCACCTAAAGGGAACACAGAATACTCTGGCAGATTATCTGAGTTGGGTTCAGGTCCTCCAGGATGAATGGAGCCTGGATCAGGAGGTCTTCGACCTCCTATCTCGTGAGTGAGGTTTACCGCAGGTAGATCTGTTTGCCACACAGACCAACGCGAAGGTGAATGCAGCGGACAACGCAGTAGCGGTCGATGAGCTGTCGCACCCATGGGGTTATCACCTGTGCTACGCATTTCCACCCATTCATTTAATTTCCGAGAGTTCTACAAAAGTTTTTTCAGGAAAAAACAAACTTGATATTGATAGCGCCCTTTTGGCCCAAGAGAGCGTGGTTTACGACGGTGTTGTCCTTGACGGACCGTCCGCCTTGGCCGCTTCCGATCAGCCGGGGGTTGTTATCACGGGCCGGTCATGCATCCGGCAGACTGTCCCTTCATGCCTTCTATCTGAGGAGGAGATTTTAAGGAGGAAGGGCCTTTCTTCCAGGGTGATCAGCACCTTATTGTCTAGCCGTAAATTGGTTACGTGGAAAATTAATGGTAAAGTGTAAGACTTTCTGCTCCTGGAAGGGGAGAAATAACAGGGATGCAACCATCCCGTCGGTGCTAGATTTCCTTCAGGAAGGGGCGGACGGAGGCTTAGCTATCAGCACGTTGAAAGTTGAGGTCTCGGCTTTAAGCGTATATTTACAGTGCTCCCTGGATAATGATCAACTGGTGAGTATGTTCTTTAAAGCTCTTAAACGAATTAGGCCGGTTATACACTGTTCCATTCCAAAGTGGGATCTGTCGGTAGTCTTACAGGGTCTGGTGATTTCTCCTTTTGAGCCTCTACTTGATCTCCCGATCATTCTGCTCACTTTAAAGACTGTGTTCCTGGTTGCTATAACCACAGCTAGAAGGGTCAGTGAATTGCAGGCTCTGTCCCTAAGGGAACCTTACTTAACGTTTTTTGAGGACCGAGTGGTATTAAATGCAGATCCGGCTTTCTTACCGAAAGTTTCTTCGAACTTTCATAGATCTCAGGAGATCGTTTTGCCTTCATTCTGCAGGAATCAGGCTAATCAGAAAGAGGCAGGTTTTCATCACCTAGATGTTAGGCGGTGTCTGATAGAGTACTTTATGGGGACTAGAGCATTCTGAAAGTCGGATGCCATTTTTGTTCTTTTTTCAGGAAAGGATAAGGGAAAACAGGCCTCCAAAGCTTCAATAGCTAGATGGGTAAAGCTATGTATTAAGGAGGCTTATGGGACAAAGCAGGTTAGTGTTCCGCCTTTTTTGAATGCGCACTCTACCAGGGGGTTAGCCACTTCGTGGGCAGAGAGGGCTGGTGCCACTCCGGAGCAGATTTGTAAGGCCGCAACCTGGCCGAGTTTTTGCATGTTTGTCCGCCATTACCGGCTGGATTTGAATGCGGCAGCAGAGCAGGCGTTTGGAAGAAAGGTGCTCCAAGCTGTAGTCCCGCCCTAAGTGGGTAAGTTCTTGTTTATCCTCTCGCAGGCTGTTCTGGAAGACCATAGGAAAGAGAGTTACCGCTCAGTCTAACTCTGAATTTCTCCTTCAGGCCCCTCCTCTGCTGATTGACAGCAGGCAGTGGGCAGATGCAATAGCCAGCCTGCTATTGCAATTTAAAATATCCAATAGCCGGCTGGCTATTGCTCCCAGCATTAAAGTTAAAAAAAAATTTACAAAATAAACTACAATTAAAAATACAAAAAAGTGTAAAAAAAAAGTTAAATAAAAATTTAAAAATGCAAACAAATGAAAAAAAATAAAGTTTATAAAATAAATCTGAGATATTGTCTCCCAGCTCTCCAAAACCAAGATATTGCAATCCCTGGTAGTCCTACTGTATTTAGTCCTTTCGCTGTCGGATCAATTTTTAAAAATGTTGTGTACACAAAAGACACGCAACCCCCCCAAAAAATCAATATTTTCTGAAAGTAGCGGTCTGCTATTCTATGGTCTATAGAATAAAAAAAATTTTTTATATCTGTTGCAATTTTTTTATATTACATGATGTTAGCGCAACTGTTTATCAAACTCATGTTTTCTATAAAAATGAGCTCATATTAATTGTAGTGCACTCAAACCCAATACAGTCTCCAAATGTCTGCGATTGCAAAAAATTGTGTATGCAGTTTTCTTCTGAAGTAAACTTTGCAACACTGCATTTGTGTATTTTATTATATTTACCCGACGTGACCCGATCTTTTATATTTTACCAAAAAACTGGGTAATAAATGTTTCCTAACATAATGTAAAAAAACCTTTTTTTTTTTCCCCAAAACTTTCTGTAATTTTTCCTAATTTATAGTAAAAAATAAAAACCCCAGTGGTGTTTAAATACCACCAAAAGAAAGCCCTATCTTTCCCCAAAAAAATGATATAAAATTCATTTCAGTACAGCGTTGCATGACGGAATAAACGTCAGTCAAAGTACCGCAGCGCTGAATATTGAAAAATGGCCTGGCCAGGAAGTGGTTAAAGAAGGATGGTATTTAATTTTTTTTTAAATTCAATTTATTAGAAAAAATTATCTGCCAACTAAAGTCTGATACCCAAACTTGTTCACTGGTGATTCTTTAACCTTATTTGACCTGTTTTGTCACATGTAGAAGTAATCGGGTGGCTGTAATTTACTTCTGCTAGAGAGCCTGAAGTCTGCTTTCCAAAATATAAACAAACTGCTAATGCAGCTGTGAGCTTGTTCACATTCTGATACTGCCACGGTGTAGTAGGGATGGCGACTGCAGTATAAGGGCTCATTCACACGGGAATCGGCCATTTCTAGTGTGAATGAGGGCTAAACGTGTTAAAGAACCATCCAAATATAGGTTATTTTATGAAATGTAGCTGAGGCATATTATCAATCATTTGTGGACTTTAGGCATTACACACACACACACACACACACACACACACACACACACACAACCTTTGGCTTATGTAGAATGCTCTATCATTCTGGCTACATTTACCTGCAGTTTCCAGCTGGGACTTGCTGTATCACAGGAGCAGATTTTCCTGTATACTGTGTTGACCCATACGGAGATGTGTCTGCTGTGTTAATGAGAGTTATGATGTAGCAATGTTATTATTGCTTTATTGTAACTTCTCTAAGCCATTTATATAGATCAAATGGGTGACCTTTAAACTGCATTGATGTCAGATAAAGCAAAACAAATGTCCATGTTAAAACCCTTATTAACATTTGTTTGCTACTAGGGCTGGTAATGATTAAAATGTTCGTGTTCGATTAATCAAACATTTTTTTAATCGATTAATTTCGATTAATTATTGCGCACATACAGATCCAACTACATTGGCCTATACACAGCACAGCAATGAAGTAATAAAATGAACTAGGTTCCCACTAATCCAGCACGTTATTAATCTCACGTGCCCCACTCCATATGGCCGCCGCTTGAGTGGGGCAACTCAGAATAATAACGTGCTGGATTACAAATGTATTTACATAGTATAGTAAAACAGCAAAGCCCTAAGGGTGATTTAAACATAAGTATTAGCTTAATATTTGAAGTAGCAGCACCTGTCCATTTCATGTAAGGACCTGATTGCAACATAATATCACCGGACTCCTCCCCCCTTCCCTTCGTTAGCTGACAGAGCTACTTGGGGATGGGGGAGGAGCCGGTGACGTCACGGACATCAACGTCACCGGACTCCTCCCCCCTTCCCTTCGTTAGCCGACGGAGCCACTTGGGGAAGGGGGGAGGAGTCCGGTGACGTTGATGTCCGTGACGTCACCGGCTCCTCCCTCATCCCCAAGTAGCTCTTTTTTTCATTTTTTTTTTGCCATTTAGGATCTAATTTTTTTTGTTTTTTTCATTCATTTTTTTCTTTTGTATATATTTTTTTACATATTTTATTCCACAAGAAACGAGAATCCACTAGGCAGAATAAAAACAAAACGTCATGTATGACATAATAAGTCAATTCAATACAGCCAGACAGCATATATCAGTATACAGCAATAAAAAAACAAATCAACAGGTCAACCACATTTATTGTAAAATTGTGTTCTCTTCAATCCCTTGTAATAATATATAGATGCCTTACTTCACTTATTAGGTGGAAATTGACTGCCTGGGGAAGTAACAGATCACTTGTGTAATATTTGACAATTAAAAATTGGGAAAAAAACTAATTCATTTATAAAAAAACTTTACCTTGCTTTCCAATAAAAATATAATTTTAGCGTCCTTATAGAAAGGGCAAATTACAGAATAAAATGTATACATTTTATCAACAGGAACATACTAGGTATTTTAAAACCAACACAAGTCAAACTCGAAAATAATGTGTTTGGTTTTGTTGCATGTTTTGTCTACAGATTGCATAGAAAATTAAATCATTTTTGCAACACAATAGTGCCACAAATTGTGGCACCCTGAGCTGAAAAGCTGGTGATTGAGACCAGCATGAAGCTAGGATTTAGTTCTCATGGGCATCAAGGTCTGGATGAGGGTCTAACAGCCAGGGGATCTGGAGCAGATTTGCATTGCACCCAATCAGCTTCTATCTCTCATTTTTAAAATCTCAACTGAGCAAACTAAAGAGAGATGCTGATTGGTTGTCATGGGCCCCCCATATGTTTTTTATTTTTTCAAGACCAAGTACTTCCCCTCATGAACTTGCCGATACCAATTACCGATACTTTTTCTTAAAGGGACAGGTGACTTTAAATGATCCACAGTACGACTACATGTTATGTACTATGGATCATGATTTAACCTATTCATGTTAGCAGGGGAGAATTGTAAATCTATTGCTGTAGTGGAGGTGTGTACTGTATATATGTACTACATTTACAGTACACTACAGCAATAGATTTACAGCCAACCCTGTCCCAGCTTCCCTCACTCACAGTTTCACTCCTCTGATCCCTGTTGCCTCACTCGGTGCCTCTTGTAGTCGGCGCTGGGCAGGATCGCTGCATCATGTCTCGGTGCTCAGCTTGTGGGAGGCGCTCACAATTCTGCCCTGCTAACATGAATAGGTTAAATGATCCGTAGTACAACTACATGTTATGTACTATTATGTACTATGGATCATGATTTAACCTATTCATGTTAGCAGGGGAGAATTGCAAATCTATTGTCTGCAGTGTATTAGCAGTGAGTACTCTATATGTACCACATATGGAGTAAACTGCTAATACACTGCAGACAATAGATTTAAAATTATCTTCTGCTTAATACGGACTCCCTTACCCTCACTCACTGCTCACGATGTGCGGCGCTGTGCGGGAGAGCAGCAACGAGTTGGCGCTGGTCCGGTGGGAGGAGCTCCAGGTGGGGTCCTACTTTAGCTGGCCGGCGACTGCCCATAGTACAACTACATATTATATACTATGGATCATTTAATCCATTCATATTAGCAGAGGATAATTGTAAATCTATTGCTGCAGTGTATTCTATATGTACTGCACAGTACATATAGAATACACTGCAGCAATAGATTCTTGTTGTTCACACAAAACACTAAGCCCAGGCCCTGTCTCACTTACTATTGCCTCGATCGCGGTGCCGAACGATGTGCCGAACGATTTTCCTTACACGTGAGGAAGTTGGCGGCGCTGAGCTGAAGAAGAGCATCGCGTCACTGCTGCTCCGGTGGGCGGCGCTCCGAGTGGGGTCCTCTGGGCAGTCGCCGGCCACCTAAATTAGGACCCCACCTGGAGCGCCGCCCACTGGAGCAGCAGTGACGCAACGCTCGACAAGGTCAGTAAAGGAAAAAAAACATAACGCAAGCTTTGGCACTATGAATCGGGGCATTTTGACAAGTACTTGTCAAAATGCCCTGTATTGGTCCCGATACCGATGCTTGTATCGGTATCGGGACATCCCTACTTTAAATGTAAAGTGAACAGATGCATGTTCACTGACTGACTTCTGTTGCGGTTTCCCTTTTTACAGTTCTTCTCAATTGAGGGTTATAAGAGTCTTGAAAATGTTAAGACCAATTCAGGTCTTGGCTGCATTTTTTTGTAATAAACATATTTTTTGCTTTTAATTAGTGTTTTCTCTGTCTTGCTTTTGAAACGGTTCATAGAAATTATTAAACTAAAAAGTGACATCTATGGATTAACATATGGGCTAAAATGATTTGTGACTCTTGTACGTTTAATTTTTTTGCAGTCAGTGCTGCTTCCTGATTCCTTGAAACCAGAGGCAAAGAGGCTCTTGGAAAGGTTGATTAAATTGGGTCAGAGAAATGGCTTAAATCTTTCATCTGAGTTGCAACAGGTAAGTTGTTTAGTTACTTTCTGCTGTAATCTTGGTATCATTTTAAACAGCCGGCACCTAGCTGTCAAGTGAATACTTATATGGGCCTGAGAAGGTGCTGCCACAGTCTGGTTTATTGGCTCTACTTGCTACTCTGAGGAACTCCATAGATTGACTTCGAGAAGGTGAGCGGGAGCATATTGAGTAACTACTTTTATCCAATCTACTCTCCGATGAGCGAACCCGAAAGAGATGTGCTTGCATTTCCGAGTTCACTGCTGTCACGTTGTGGCCAGGTAAACAGCCATTCAAGCACCATTTGTGCTTGATCAGCTGTAGCAGAGAGCAGGGAAGACATTAGGGGTCTAATAGACCCCTGATGACAGTTTTTTTTTTTTTTGGAGGCATCTGCCAATGCTATCACATAGAGGCTTGCTAGCCCCATATTGATGGCAATAAAGTTAAAAAAAATTATAAAAGGAAAATCTAAAGCAGCCTTGCCAACCCACCCCATACACTTTTTTGGGCCATCATTCCCTGTTAACTAAACTGATCAGCAGTAAAGGCTTTTAAAGCATTGCCTGTGGACAATTTTGTGTATTGTAGTTTTTTGGCATCTCACAATTTAAGGCTTGACATGTTTGTTATCCATTTACTGGACGGTGCTGCAGCCCCACCTTTTTATATTTTACCAAAAGATTGGGTATTCTATTGTGTTTGTGTATTTTTTTCCCTAAAAAATATTGATTTGATAAACATTTGCGCAAAGATTGTGCAACGGAACAAAAACATTTTTTTAACTACTTTTTTTGTTTTTTAATTGTACATCCCACTTCTAGAAGATATTTCATTGTATGGGGTTTGTAATAATTTTCTAGCCAGATATTCAGATTAACAAGTTTGCAAAAGAATTGCTCCAGTCCAAAAGTGGTTAAAGAGCAAAAAAAAGTGTGTGCCCACCACTTGCCTTTAACACAGTAGTTCTCTTAGGTACACATACATGCAGTTATGAAGGTACTTATATGCTAGTTATTAGATTTTCTGAAAATACTAGGTTGTTCCAAGCATCCCGAAGAACTTGCGGCAGTTACACCACAGACTTTGTCTGTCTTATTTCCAACTGACTCTGCAAAGTAATCCCATTTTTGTTCACAATGTTAATTTTTCTGCCGTTAGTACTTTATGGTTTAGTAATGTGTTTGGAGTCATTGTCATGCTTCTGTATGAATTTATGACGTTAGGGACGATCAAATGCTTGCATGATGGATAATATGCTTGTACTTTTCCGCAGTAAGGGTGATTATCAGTTTTCTTTGCCAACCCCATTTGCAGAAAAGCAAATGGATAACGTCCACCGTGCTTCACTAACCTCTACAAATATTTATCCATAAATATGATTTATCCATCATATTTACTAAGTTCCAGTGGTGTAACAACCCCGGGGGGGGGCGGCGTTGCGGCTCTCCGGGCGAAAAGATGGAGGGGGGCGCATGGCGCCGGGGAGTGTCCCAGCGAGGCAGGCAGTGTCCAGCAACCCGGGTGACAAACGCAATAGGTATGCCGCGCTGGGGCCTCGGCCGTAAGGATCCAGCGACCAGCTGACAGATTGATGAGAGACCTGCCTCTGACTGATTGCGCCGTGGTTTCCCAAGTGCCGGAGCACCGTCCCCACTGCCCCCAGTGTGTTGTTTTTTTGTTTAGTTTTTTTTTATGCAGCTTCTTTCAACCATCCTGTCTGTCACCTCCTGCAGCTCTGATCTCACAGATCAGTCAGGTGAGTTGACTTTCAAGTTCCACTTCTATTCTGTCACCCAGTGAACTACAAGTCTCAGTATGCCCTCCTCATTGTCCTTGTACACAATAAGGGCATACTGGGACTTGTAATTCCTTGAATGCTATTTGTGGGTTGTCCATGGACAGTGCTGGGACTTGTAGTTCCCTTAGTGATTTTTGTGGGTGTACTGGGACAGCGCTGGGACTTGTAGTTCCCTTACTGATATTTGGGTGGGTGTACTGGAGTAAACTGCTAATACACTGCAGACAATAGATTTAAAATTATCTTCTGCTTAATACGGACTCCCTTACCCTCACTCACTGCTCACGATGTGCGGCGCTGTGCGGGAGAGCAGCAACGAGTTGGCGCTGGTCCGGTGGGAGGAGCTCCAGGTGGGGTCCTACTTTAGCTGGCCGGCGACTGCCCATAGTACAACTACATATTATATACTATGGATCATTTAATCCATTCATATTAGCAGAGGATAATTGTAAATCTATTGCTGCAGTGTATTCTATATGTACTGCACAGTACATATAGAATACACTGCAGCAATAGATTCTTGTTGTTCACACAAAACACTAAGCCCAGGCCCTGTCTCACTTACTATTGCCTCGATCGCGGTGCCGAACGATGTGCCGAACGATTTTCCTTACACGTGAGGAAGTTGTCGGCGCTGAGCTGAAGAAGAGCATCGCGTCACTGCTGCTCCGGTGGGCGGCGCTCCGAGTGGGGTCCTCTGGGCAGTCGCCGGCCACCTAAATTAGGACCCCACCTGGAGCGCCGCCCACTGGAGCAGCAGTGACGCAACGCTCGACAAGGTCAGTAAAGGAAAAAAAACATAACGCAAGCTTTGGCACTATGAATCGGGGCATTTTGACAAGTACTTGTCAAAATGCCCTGTATTGGTCCCGATACCGATGCTTGTATCGGTATCGGGACATCCCTACTTTAAATGTAAAGTGAACAGATGCATGTTCACTGACTGACTTCTGTTGCGGTTTCCCTTTTTACAGTTCTTCTCAATTGAGGGTTATAAGAGTCTTGAAAATGTTAAGACCAATTCAGGTCTTGGCTGCATTTTTTTGTAATAAACATATTTTTTGCTTTTAATTAGTGTTTTCTCTGTCTTGCTTTTGAAACGGTTCATAGAAATTATTAAACTAAAAAGTGACATCTATGGATTAACATATGGGCTAAAATGATTTGTGACTCTTGTACGTTTAATTTTTTTGCAGTCAGTGCTGCTTCCTGATTCCTTGAAACCAGAGGCAAAGAGGCTCTTGGAAAGGTTGATTAAATTGGGTCAGAGAAATGGCTTAAATCTTTCATCTGAGTTGCAACAGGTAAGTTGTTTAGTTACTTTCTGCTGTAATCTTGGTATCATTTTAAACAGCCGGCACCTAGCTGTCAAGTGAATACTTATATGGGCCTGAGAAGGTGCTGCCACAGTCTGGTTTATTGGCTCTACTTGCTACTCTGAGGAACTCCATAGATTGACTTCGAGAAGGTGAGCGGGAGCATATTGAGTAACTACTTTTATCCAATCTACTCTCCGATGAGCGAACCCGAAAGAGATGTGCTTGCATTTCCGAGTTCACTGCTGTCACGTTGTGGCCAGGTAAACAGCCATTCAAGCACCATTTGTGCTTGATCAGCTGTAGCAGAGAGCAGGGAAGACATTAGGGGTCTAATAGACCCCTGATGACAGTTTTTTTTTTTTTTGGAGGCATCTGCCAATGCTATCACATAGAGGCTTGCTAGCCCCATATTGATGGCAATAAAGTTAAAAAAAATTATAAAAGGAAAATCTAAAGCAGCCTTGCCAACCCACCCCATACACTTTTTTGGGCCATCATTCCCTGTTAACTAAACTGATCAGCAGTAAAGGCTTTTAAAGCATTGCCTGTGGACAATTTTGTGTATTGTAGTTTTTTGGCATCTCACAATTTAAGGCTTGACATGTTTGTTATCCATTTACTGGACGGTGCTGCAGCCCCACCTTTTTATATTTTACCAAAAGATTGGGTATTCTATTGTGTTTGTGTATTTTTTTCCCTAAAAAATATTGATTTGATAAACATTTGCGCAAAGATTGTGCAACGGAACAAAAACATTTTTTTAACTACTTTTTTTGTTTTTTAATTGTACATCCCACTTCTAGAAGATATTTCATTGTATGGGGTTTGTAATAATTTTCTAGCCAGATATTCAGATTAACAAGTTTGCAAAAGAATTGCTCCAGTCCAAAAGTGGTTAAAGAGCAAAAAAAAGTGTGTGCCCACCACTTGCCTTTAACACAGTAGTTCTCTTAGGTACACATACATGCAGTTATGAAGGTACTTATATGCTAGTTATTAGATTTTCTGAAAATACTAGGTTGTTCCAAGCATCCCGAAGAACTTGCGGCAGTTACACCACAGACTTTGTCTGTCTTATTTCCAACTGACTCTGCAAAGTAATCCCATTTTTGTTCACAATGTTAATTTTTCTGCCGTTAGTACTTTATGGTTTAGTAATGTGTTTGGAGTCATTGTCATGCTTCTGTATGAATTTATGACGTTAGGGACGATCAAATGCTTGCATGATGGATAATATGCTTGTACTTTTCCGCAGTAAGGGTGATTATCAGTTTTCTTTGCCAACCCCATTTGCAGAAAAGCAAATGGATAACGTCCACCGTGCTTCACTAACCTCTACAAATATTTATCCATAAATATGATTTATCCATCATATTTACTAAGTTCCAGTGGTGTAACAACCCCGGGGGGGGGCGGCGTTGCGGCTCTCCGGGCGAAAAGATGGAGGGGGGCGCATGGCGCCGGGGAGTGTCCCAGCGAGGCAGGCAGTGTCCAGCAACCCGGGTGACAAACGCAATAGGTATGCCGCGCTGGGGCCTCGGCCGTAAGGATCCAGCGACCAGCTGACAGATTGATGAGAGACCTGCCTCTGACTGATTGCGCCGTGGTTTCCCAAGTGCCGGAGCACCGTCCCCACTGCCCCCAGTGTGTTGTTTTTTTGTTTAGTTTTTTTTTATGCAGCTTCTTTCAACCATCCTGTCTGTCACCTCCTGCAGCTCTGATCTCACAGATCAGTCAGGTGAGTTGACTTTCAAGTTCCACTTCTATTCTGTCACCCAGTGAACTACAAGTCTCAGTATGCCCTCCTCATTGTCCTTGTACACAATAAGGGCATACTGGGACTTGTAATTCCTTGAATGCTATTTGTGGGTTGTCCATGGACAGTGCTGGGACTTGTAGTTCCCTTAGTGATTTTTGTGGGTGTACTGGGACAGCGCTGGGACTTGTAGTTCCCTTACTGATATTTGGGTGGGTGTACTGGGACAGTGCTGGGACTTATACTTCCCTGAGTGATATTGGACTATCTCCTGGGGAACCTGCACCCAATTATCCTTTGCTTTATATCAGCGGTTCTCAACCTGTGGGTCGCCAAGTGCACTTCTTCTGCGCTAGGTGAGAGGCTCCTCAGCCTCCTCCTAATGCAACAGTGTCCGTGTCAGTCAGCGAGATCTCGGGTAAAGGCATTTTTCACCTGTTAGATGTGCGTGGTCACATGTCCTGGTCACATGTGCCAGAGTTCCAGAAAGTAAATGGAGATGGATTTGTCTGCCCTTCCTAAAAATGGCCACTGTGAGAAGAATAGGGAAGAAGAGAAAAACAATGATATGCAAAGAATAAAAAGCTAGCAATTATCTATAACTATATGTTTTAGATTGCCTTTACTAAATATTTTGAAAGCTGGCTTTATTTGGAAGATATGGGTAAAGTTCCTCTTTAATAAATTTCCCTCGTCTTCCTGGACATCACCTGAATTATACAGGTTTTGTATGTATGAACCCAGTCAGTGGCCCCTAATACACAAAAACCTAATTATGTAACCTTTAGTAGCTAAGGTTCTGGTTGAGGATGCTTCCCTCCATGCGTTTTATATATGAAGGTTGTAGATGTTTAGCTGCGCTTTGTGATTGTGAGCCCTAATTGTTTGATTTTTGTAAGTCCTTCTGTTTTCCCTTTAATGCAGAAAATTAAGGATATTAAGAAAAAGATGAGTTCCCTTTCCATTGACTTCAGCAAGAATTTAAATGAAGACATCACATTTCTGGCTTTCACCAGGGAAGAGCTAGGTAAGATGGAAGGACTTGAAATTTTCTAACCGAACAAGCGTACTATTCTTAATGCTTTTTTTTATTTGCACAAACAGCAACATTTTCAGGAAAAGCTTTTTTTGGCCTTACCTCCTTCTCAGTCCAAACAGTAATGATACAGAACGTTTTAGCTAAATTTTAAAGTAGAACTGAAGCCAAAACCTTGTCCAATAGCCACAGCAGGAAGTGACAGGAAATCCCTCCAAAGAAAGGGAAATCCCTGGAGATCAGCAGGGTCACCAGAACTCATGTCCCCAGTGGAAGATTACCCACCCTTTAATTTTGTCATGACAACCCAAAATTCAGGGTTTGTTTGTGTTTTTTTTGTTTTCCACTTTCAGTGATTACCATCACCAGGACATATTGAAAGGGTAAATCTCCCGAATAGAAACACAGACCGCAATAGAAACCTGAAATTCTAATCTCGCTCTTCACTACATCCCCCCCCCCAAAAAAAAAGCCCTTAAAAATGTTATTCAGACTTGCCATTTTAATGAAATCCCAGATGTATTAAACAGGTTTATTTTTTGCTTACCACCATATGTAAGCTTCTTCCCAAACGAAAATCACATTTAGGATTATAATTTTGTTTGGTCAAATAAGAAACAATATGACATTTCCATCCTGCTCCTTTTGGTTTTCCTTGTCATTACAGTGGAAAACAAACAGAGTAGACCTCATTGACCATTAGAAAATTTAACGAACATAACTAAAATGAAAATGTTCTAATGAAATTCTATTGGTGTATGGCCAGCTTTAGTCGGATAAGGAAAGGGGGAAAGAGTCAGAGGTGAGACTGGTCATTTGATAGTGATTTAGAAAGCAGAGGGCCACATTCAGTACAAATGATAAATCTGTTTGTGGCAAGAAATAATGAACTGCATATGGACCTCGACTTCATAAAGCACTATAAAAATATATAAAAAAGTATCATGTTCATTACTCAACTGTTTCAAGTTACCTTACAGAACTAAGAAGGGTAATGCGATGTGCTTAAGTGCCCTTTAAGTAAACTTATAAGTGCCATAAAGTAGCTGCCATTGCTGATCTTTTTAGTTATTGTCTGGCTTTTCTGCTGGCTTCATTACATTTTGAGTTACTGCCCTGTAACAAGTTTTTATCTGCATACTAAAGTAGGCTATACACACACTTTGAATTGAAATTTGCTGCATGGGTGCCGCTGTCAGCACCCTTCCAACCGGCATCCCTTGATCAACTGATCAAAGGAGCTGGTTGAAAAATTCTCGGCCAAACAGAGCTAGCAGCCAATCAGCTTTCAGAATACAACGGAAATGGCAGGAGATTCCTCGATCAATGCTCGTAACCATTGATGGAGGAATCTGTGATATTTTCTTCGTTCAGTTGGCAGGCTGATCAAAGAAAATGTATGTATGTATGTATGTATGTATGTATGTATACTCGACTGTATTCTGTTTCAGTGACTCAAAGTAACAAGAGGCACCATGACTACCAGGCAGTTAGCTGTTTTAGAAGCAGAGGTCATCAGTGGCAGCCTACACATTTCTCTCAAGATGTGTTTCCTTTGAGAAACAGAGTTTTCAATTTCACCCACCAGATGTAGTTGTATAAAGCGTTTATTATGCATTGCTAACTTTTTATTTTAGTTCACCCTGAAGAAAAACTACTTGGTTGAGTAAAAACTTTTTCTGCAGCAGTAAGTATAAGGCTCCGTGATGGAGAGAACAGGTTGAACTGAAAATTATGATGGGTTAATATATGATCATAGGAGCCATCTGTGAGTTTTGTTTAGAGCCTGTGGTTGATTCAGTTCTTTGTGGAAATTCAGCTCTGTGTCTACCCATGTTTGAGTTACATAGTTAGATTCCTTATTTTCTAAACAAGTAACCTAATTGTAAAGGATTGGGACATTATTTTATTCAAGAATTATTTGCTTGACTTTATTGCACTGCGTTTGTATACTTGGTTCAGATGTGTAGTTATGAACTAGCGATTTTGTAGGAGGTCTTCCTGATGACTTTTTGAATTCCCTGGAGAAAGATGAAGATGGAAAACTAAAGGTTACTTTAAAATATCCTCATTATTTCCCACTGATGAAAAAATGCTTTGTTCCTGAGACACGGAGAAAAGTGGAGTTGGCTTTTAACTGCCGCTGTAAAGAGGTAAAAGCAAATATTCATTGTGTTGACCTAACTGACAATCCACATGTTTTAGATACTTGTCTCAATAACGATCTTTTTTTAATGGCTTCTTGTAGGAGAACAACAAAATTCTTTGCGAACTTGTTAAGCTAAGGGAAGAGAAAAGCAGTTTACTTGGCTTTGACACACATGCAGATTTTATATTGGAGATGAACATGGCAAAGAACAGCAAAACCGTGGCATGCTTTTTGGGTAAAGGATGTACTTCAATTGTTAAATGCCATTGATAATAAGTATTGCATCCGTAAGGATGATGCTGAAGTTCATGATTTTTGAACATGTTAAAGGTTGTATATCGTAATGGAACACACATCAAGCAACAGTACAAATTACAATTTAGTAATTTGCTCTTTTTAAGACTAATTCTGAAATCCGAGGATCACAAAGAAAACTGTGTTGTGTAACTGAATTTTTCCCCCTCAACTAAGCTTTTTAGAATATGTAAAATAAGTGACACTAAAGTGGCAAATAGGAGCAAATTTATGATGTCTTCACTTCAGCTTTCTTTAGCTATTCAGTGCTTGGTATACCCTAAATATTGAAGTGCTGCTAAATTCAAATATTAACCAGGATTCCTGTTTTTTAACCAGTTGACATCCGCGGTGTTAAACCCCCTTCCCATCCAGGCCATTTTTCAGTATTCAGCGCTGCGGTACTTGACATTTATTCCGTCATGCAACGCTGTACTGAAATGAATTTTATACCATTTTTTGGGGACAGATAGCGCTTTCTTTTGGTGGTATTTATTCACCACTGGGGTTTTTATTTTTTACTATATTAGGGAAAAATTACCAAAGTTTAAAAAAAAAAAAACTGTTTCCCCTATATTAAATGATAAAACATTTATTATTACCCGATTTTTTTGGTAAAAAATAAAAGACGGGGTCACATCGGGTAAAATGACACCAAACATGTCAAGCCTTAAAATTGCGCGCGCGCGAAACCTCAAAAAACGATAATACCCAAAATTGGCCACAGGCGACGCTTTAAAAGCTTTTACCGCTCATCAGTTTAGTGTTATCAGTGATTGATGGCCCTAAAATTATTGCTCTCACTGCGGCTTTCGCGGCGATATGTAGCGCAATTGTCGTTTTCGCACACTGGTGCACCGGGCGCATATTTACATTTATATGTGCGTAAACGTGGGGGAGTTAAACATTTTTTTTTTTACTTTATGTCTTTATTATTTATTATGAAACACCCAGTAACGGGTGTTTGCATTGCACGGGTCTTTTCTGCCCGTGCGACTCCTCCAGCTCAACAATCTGGCTGTGTAAGACTACCCCATTCTCTAGATTGCTACATATACCTGTCTGCTGAAACCAGGATTTCCCTGACCTTGTGGCTGATCAGCCTGGCACTGGAGGTGGGAATGTAATTTCTACCATTGACCTGGATTTGTCATTTCCCCCAGATGTGGACAGGCTGGCTTCAGGGACAACCAACAAGGATTAAGTTGGACAGTACCACAGCTGTGGCTTACCTCAACACAGCACCAGAAATCACGTGGCCCAAATGGACTTAATTCTGGCCTGGGATGAAAGGCATGTTGTAGCCTTGTCTACAGTCCACATTTCTGCAGCAGACCATTGACAGACAAATTTTACCAGTCATCATTTCCTGGGTGCAGGGGAATGGTCTACTTACCCTGGTGTGTTTAAAGACCTCTGCCACCAGTGGGGAAAGCTGGATGTGGAACTCTGCATTAGGGATGTCCCGATACCGATACAAGCAACGGTATCGGGACTGATACAGGGCATTTTGACAATTACTTGTACTTGTTAAAATGGCCCGATACATAGCGCCGAAGCTTGCGCTATGTTTTTTTTTTCTTGCCGCGCCGAGCGTTGCGTCACTGCTGCGGTGACGCAACACTCCTCTTCAGCTCAACGCCGACGACGTCCTCACGTGTGAGGAAAATCGTTCAGCACATCGTGAGGCACAGCGATCGAGGCATCAGTAAGTGAGACGGGGCCTGGGCTTAGTGTTTTGTGTGAACAACAAGAATCTATTGCTGTAGTGTATTCTATATATACTGTACAGTACATATAGAATACACTGCAGCAATAGATTTACAATTATCCTCTGCTAATATGAATGGATTAAATGATCCATAGTATATAATATGTAGTTGTACTATGGATCATTTTACCCATATTAGCAGTGCATAATTGTAAATCTATTGCTGCAGTGTACTCTATATGTAGTACATGTACAGTACATATTCCCAATACACTGCAGCAATAGATTTCCAATGATCCCCTGCTAACATGAATAGGTTAAATGATCCATAGTACAACTACATGTTATGTACTATGAATCATGATTTAACCTATTCATGTTAGCAGGGCAGAATTGTGAGCGTCTCCCACAAGCTGAGCACCGAGACGCGATGACGCGATCCTGCCCAGCAGGACTACTACGAGAGGCACCGCGTGAGGCAACAGGGATTGGATTGAAACTGTGAGTGAGGGAAGCTGGGACAGGGCTGGCTGTAAATCTATTGCTATAGTGTACTGGACATGTGTACTGTACATGTAGTACATATATACAGCACACACCTCCACTACATTACAGCAATAGATTTACAATTCTCCCCTGCTAACATGAATAGGTTAAATCACGATCCATAGTACATAACATGTAGTTGTACTATGGATCATTTACAGTCACCTGTCCCTTGAAGAAAAAATATCGGTAATTGGTATCTGCAAGTACATGAGGGGAAGTACTTGTACTTGGTCTTGTAAAAGTGGTATCCGGACATCCCTACTTTGCATCATGCTTCAACAGCAAGGTGGACAGGTTCATGGTTGAAACTAGGTATCCTCAGATAAAAAAACAAAAACCACTGCGCTAGGAGAATTATGTGTTGAAAATAGACCAGCCGCAACACTGTATGGTTATATTAACCTGTGATTTGATACGTGGAGGTGTGTTGCCCTGAGTGTATCAAAAACTAATAATCGAGCACACCAACCTACAGCACTAAATTAACCCCCAAAACACCTGGGCTATTTAGTAGTCTAGGTTAGTGATCAAAACATAAACAAATATATTACCCTTTTGACAGGGTATAGTGATCATTAAGGTGAACTGATGTGAAAACCTTCTTAATTGGCAACACATGAAATCATCGTGAAAATGAAACAACCTGAAAGTTGTTTGCAGTGATATTAGTACTATACAATGCAGTGATATTAGTACTCTACAAAAAACAAAGCAAAATGGATGTGAACACCTCATGTACAAAGTGTTTCATAAATCTGATATCTCTGTTTCAAATAAGATCAAATAAACGTGAATTATTAACTCTCAGTCTCACCCCAAGTGTTAAAATAGTGACAACGAATGTGGGATATAGATGGGATCCTAAACACAAATAGTCATTGTATAGCCAAAAAATCGCAAAAACAGTTAATTTCCCATTTCTTCCTGCTTGTGACACTTTTTTTCCTCAGGAGCCAGCAGCAACCAGGGGTGTGGACATTTTTGAAAAAACTACTTGTCCAAGGACTGAAGCGGGGGCCGAATCTACTTGTCCCTCATGACAATCTACTTGTCCTGATACAATAAAAAATTATTTTAACCAAAACCGTATTTAGCAGTGCTAAGAAGCGCTTCTCATTGGTCAGTGCCGTCAGATGACCGTGTTGACCCATAAGTGCTTGCAATTTGCGAGCGAAATTCAGAATACATGAAACAGGTACAGATAGTACACCCGTACTGGTGGACGGGAAGGACCGTTCGCTAAAAGGTAAGTATAGTGAGAGGGAGATTTGTGTGGGTAATTCCATTTTCCCAAATTACTTGGGAAAGTGAATATACCCTGCAGACTTGGGGATTCCCGGGACGTGCGATCGTGTGCGGTTGCATACAGCGGTTGCATCCGCATGTATGGGGTTACATCAACCGTGATTGTGTGGGAACGCCCGGGCGCTATTGCAGCAGGAAAACGCACAATCTGCCTGGAACGACTGGGGTGCCATTAGAAAATAATGGCACTGACAGCACGATCGCTGGTGGTGTGCGATTCTGTGCCCACCCAGCCATCCGCTCGGTTTCGTGCACGATGACCGGGCAGTCACCCATTTTCTAATGGCACCCCAGTCGTGCTAGGCAGATTGCGCGTTTTCCTGCTGCAATACCGCCTTGCCCGTGCGGTTGCACACGATTGCAGTTGAAAACATTGCGCGTTTATTCGCATGCAGATGGGGGCAGCGGGGCTGGTTTTAATTTTTTCAATTTTTATTTACTTTGTAAAAAATTTTCATTTGTTTTATTATTTTTACTTTATCGCCTTTTTTTAATTTTTTAAATTTTTATTTCGTTACATTTTTAATTATTTTATAAAAATCCCCTGTGTGATAGCATTTGGAGGGGACAGGTGCTCTTTATTGACCCTATCACCTCCAACACAGGGGTTCTAGCACTGCACTGTGCTAGAACTCCTGGGACAGAGGCTGAGGGAGGTGACAGAGCCTGTCACTGCTCCATCACTACTCCACGCCCCCGCTCTGTCCCCAAGCAACCCAATATTCTCCTTTGCTCTCCACTTCCCTGGTATGTCAGCGGATAAGCAGACCACACACAGCTCCCTCATCCTCTTCTGGTTAACTTTCTCTCCACCACGATTGCTTGCAGTGCACACTCAAAAGTGTCCCAAAAGAAAGGAGAGAGGAAAGAGAGCCTCCTAGTGCATTAACTTAAAAAACATTTTAAATAATAAAATAATGTAAACATGTAATTCGGGCAGCTAAAATAGAGTGCGAAAAACATATCGCCACAGCCAGTAAGAGAAACCCCCAAAAATTCTTCCAATACATAAACAGTAAAAAGGTAAGAAAGGAGCAGATAGGCCCAATAAAGGACGGAAATGGGAATCTAATCACAAACGACAGGGAGAGGGCCAAGGTGTTGAATACCTTTTTTTTTTTTTCCTCCGTATACACACAGGAAAAAGGCGCGTTTAATATAGAAAATAATCCACTTAGCCAATCACAAAATACACCACAGTGGTTGACGGAAGCCGGGGTTCAACATAGACTTGAAAAACATAATGCAAATAAAGCATTAGGACCAGATAACCTGCACCCCAAGGTACTTCAGGAACTCAGCCAAGTTATAGCAGGACCGTTATTCCTCATTTTTAAGGACTCCTTAATGACTGGTAGATTTACCAAGTGACTGGC